CATAAAAAGACATGAGCGTGCTAAGAGGAAAACAGCGTTATAAGTCTGTGAGAACAGAACGTCTAATGTTTGTCTTAACAGTAGGGATCTACGAAAGACCCTGTGAGATAACATAGGAAAAATTTTGTCGTCGCCGCCACCGAAAATGACCTCCTCGGCGGGAGCTTCCCGCCGCCGCCATTGATCAAATGATCGGTTAACACCTCTAACTGCAACTAATGGTGAGATACATTTATTTTCACTGTAAAAAATGAGGTAAAAATTGAATACAAAAGATTATGCATTTTGTCATTAGTTATACTATGGCGATTTTAATTCTTTTCTTATAACAGAATAAATATGAAGAATAGAGAGGAGAGCTAACGTATGTATACTCCTTTCTATTCTTTATATTTATCTTCTGATAAGAGAATAAAAATCTCTACAATCTCCACTTGATTAAAAGTAGATTCGCTAAATCCCGGTGCATCGTACACATTGTATCGACGTTAAAAATTTCAATGATTTAATATCGTTCAGAAAAATGAATGGTATGTTAGTCGTGCTTTGATAGGTTAATGGTTAGAGCGCTGGTTCGGCTAACCATTGAAGCTTATCATTATTTTTTCTGAATGCTAGTAAATCATCGAAATCAAAGAAAATAAAAGAATCAGTATTCTATAATTATATATACCCCTTTCTTTTCTTTAAACTATCGGTGCGCTCGTTACGGCCGTAAACTGCTCGCTGATAACTCTTTAGAACATAATAGTGAATAGTCAAAATAATTATGTCAGGCAATAATCAAGAACTAGTACGTTTGATATATCCGGATAATTAGTCTTTTTTTAACTCTTGATGCATTACTTCTTCACATTTGAAAATTTTCAAAATGTACCTTTTTTACAGACCATGCGAACCTGAATGAGAAAAAAAGCTTCTAGATAAGTCAAAAGTTGTTGGTACTTTTTTTTCAGATATTTTTACCATCCTTCTATTGTTACACGAATGATATGAGTACTGGAAGAGAACGATCAAGAACAGATTATATTACATCGGTAGCGAATACGGTAAAGAGCATAAATTCTTTTGCTTGAAAGAAGAGATTCAATGCTCTATTATATATTTATTATTTAGTGGATCGAGGAGCGATACAAAGAGTGGCAACGAAATCAGCAGTAAGTAATCTTTTTCTTAGATGAAATATAAACATTTTACTTTTCTTTTCTTAAATTTCATATCATTTGGAAATGGAGATAAAATTAAGTTTTAATGGCAAGATTAGACCAAATATTGAAAAGGCGACGAGTCTTCAAACAGATTAAGGGTACTCCTCCCCTTTTCGGAATTTATGGAAAACGGCTCATCAGCAAATTTTGAAACTTTCAGGGCAGATAGATCTTGCTGAGTGGAGAACAAGTTGTCATAGACACAAAGTTCTCGGATGCTGTCTTCTAGAAGATATTGGAGTCACAATGGGCAAAATTGGCCTCACTTTTCGCCCCCGTTTCTCAGCCGTGATACACCAATCGAGCTGAAACTTCTTTTTACAGACAGTGAACACTATTTGGGGTGCGTATTATTTTTTGGTTTCCTTATATCTCTTGTTCTTCGAATAAAAAAGTCAAAATATCGAAGGTGCCCTAAAAATCGCATGCTTTTTCGAATAGGACTTTTTTGTAAGCGCTAGTAAAAAACCACCAGAGCAATATTTTTTGAAAAAAAAATACGTACCCCAAATAGTGTCTAGTATGTCAGAAAAAAATTTCAGCCCGATCGGATGTACCATGGCTGAGAAACGAGGGCGAAAACTCACTTTTTTTTGTATAAAATTTGGTTTCGAGAAAAACGGAGCAGAAGAAAAAAATTTGCTGTTTCTACATAGAAAACGTAAAATCTTTTTGATTTTTTTAAATTTTAAAACTATATTCGATGTCTCAAAATGTGTTCAACGGATAAAGAACACCTCAGAGTATATGTATCAATGAAAAACAAAAAATCGAAAAAATTTTGATTTTCACCTTCGGAAAGGGAGGGAGCACCCTTAAAGTTCTGTCTACTTGTCTGTCTAGAACATGCATATGAAAAATCGATCAAGAAAAAGAACTTTATCCCATTAATATTTTTACCAGACACTTGTTGGACTAGGTATTTTTCGTTTCATCTTGTCTCCTTCCTGATGATTGTGTTTGTTGCTCCATTATTTCGTCAAGCTACATACCCTTTCACAATTTTTATTAGATCTCGGTTTTGCCCTGTCTCTTTTCTACAGAAAGTCATGTACAATCTGCACTTTCATAGCTAATAAACAACGTTCGACATTTTACAGCGATTTCTCATAGTAAACTGTTCGCTTCATCTTACAACGTGTATGTTGAATAATTTCTAGAACTGCCAAGCCACCAGTGACAAACGATTTCGGTCAAATACACTTTGCAACAAATGATAGATTGTCTTGGGTAAAGTGTTTTTATCTGATACATAACATAAGATTAAGGAAAAACGATTTTCTTATTTCTACGCAGTACATTCGATTTCCATTTAACGCACTAGCGCCGAACGATACTGGAAATGATCATGTATCTAAGCAAGGTTCAAAAAACGAAGAGAAACACCAAACAGCAACGATACAAATGAGCCCTTATACAGATATGCAACAACAAGAGAACAAGCCTATTGAGAGGAAACAAGATAAACCTCACGACAGATCATCTGTAACAAGCGAAGTATCAACATCGAGATGTCGTCGAACTAGTTCAGAATCATTTGCACAGTTCACTGAAAACGATGACGATGAACCTTTAGTAGGAAAACAGACAGAAGAATTGTCGTCAGCAGCTCAAATTGTTCATTTTATGCGACGTGCATGGAAATTACCGGTGCCTGGTTTGATCATTTCAGTGGCAGGGGGAGCAAAGTATTTCAGGATTGCATCACCGAGAATGCGAAATGCACTTCAGCAAGGTTTGATAACCGCGGTGATGGCGACAGGTAAAGCCTTCATTTGATGAGAAGAAACTTTCACGAACATGGTTTTAAATCGTTTTAGACGCATGGGTTTTCACAGCTGGAACTCATTCTGGCATAATCAAAGAAGTCGGTGAGGCATTCGACAAATTTCGATATAAGAATGCGAACAGTGCATTGAAAATCCCTTGCATTGGCATTTGTAGTTGGTACGCGACTACAGGTCTGCATATTTTTATTTTTATTTATTCCTGTTTTCTCAATGATGATGACTGATCGCATGTAGATTACACACAGCTATTACAAAACCCTCGTATGAATTCGTCTTCAACGACATCGTCGAATGATAATGGTTTAAATCCTCCATCAAATCAGGTGCGCATAATTTATTCCTTGGAATATTTTAGAAATATACAATTCTCTCTTCAATGTTCATTGATATGCAGGCCACGAAAGACGACGAGAACAATACTAATGATACTTTCTTGGCCCAATTAGAAAAACGAAGTCGAGACCGTATACGTTTGTATCGGACACGATTTCCGCAAGAAAAAGGAGAACCTGAATCTTATCCTCTTGACCATAACCATACACATTTCATTCTATTAGATGATAATTTCAAAGAAGGGGATAGACAATGGAAGGCTAAATTTGTTGATCGCCTTCGAGCTGATCTAATATTGCCTATGCGTGCGCAAATCGAACAAGAATCACGAAAAGTAACTCAACAAGGACAAAGTAAATTCAATTAACAATCTCATAGTGAAAATGAAACATCTGTACATTTGCAGCAGACATGATTCCAATTGTACAAATTCTTATCGAAGGTGGCGTTTCTTCGATTCTTACTGTGTGCGAATCAATTGAAGCTAAAACGCCTGTTATTGTCATTGATATAAGACAGTGTGTTTATGATAATCAAGAGAGCAGATCTGTATCATTTCTTTTTATATTTTAGGGTACGGGACGTGCAGCAGATTTGATTGCACATGAATACAAGCTTTTATACGGAGAACAGATACGATCAAGAAAACAGTACGAGAAAATTGTGAACGATGAGAAATCACCTTTGAAAACATAGTATGCATATGACAGTGGTATTCCCAATAATGACACTACATGCTTTCTTCGTTTTTATGTTTTAGCAAAAAGAAGAAATATTTTGGGGAAAAACCAGACAAATCAATTATAACTAAAGCAAATCGTGAAAAATTTATTCGAATGATCACATCCAAAGAGGGCTATTTTTTGTTAAATTCTTTTAAGCTAGAGGCTAACGATCATGAGTTAAGACTTGATGATGCCATACTGGAAGCACAGATCAATGGTAAGAGTCCGATTCAACTTTCATTCCCTTGTAAAAAAACATAAAGCTTATTCTATTAAACATTTATATCTAGCGGCAATTTTGACTGACAATGAACAAAGACAAAACTCAAAAAAATTGAAGCTAGCTATGGCCTGGAACAAATATGATAAAGTAGCTCAAGATATTTTAACAACTCAATCTGCGACTGATTGGCCAGTAGGAAGCAAATTTCATAGTATTCGAATAAATCATTGCTTCTGTGTTATAATTGTACAGGACTTGCAATTAGATGATGCTTTGCGTGAAGCTTTACTAAAGAACTCTGTAAATTTTGTTGAGTTACTTGCAGAATATGGAGCATCTTTTGAGAGACTGCGACGTTTAATTAATATTAGTGATCTTTACAAATACTTGGTATAAGCTTGTTGTTTTTACTACAGTGACAAAATTAGCTTTATGATGTTTCTTTTCTATAGGATGATGATAATCTTTCACGACCTCTTCCTCTCGACAAATCAGCTAACACAACGACATCATCGAATCCTTCAACTGGGAATAAAGTCGTTCCCGTAGCTTTTGATGTAGCTGATCAGAACCAAAACCATCATTCGAATTCAAATGAAATTTCAATAAATATTACACAATGGAATTATTGCAAAACGTATTTGAATAGAGATTTGAAGGCTGATCTTAGACAGAAACAGGTATGCTAAAGATAACAGCTCCCAGAAAAAAGCGACATCTATTTTGCTTTTATTTGTTTCATAGATGGAACAAACCGATGTTTCCGGTAAGAATTCTGATAATCCAAGTAATTTCATGAATTATTTTTCTCTTTTATTTCCTTATGTCAGTCACCGATAATTATGGTATTATTGATCATTTTCGTAAAAAGGATTCATTTTTGCATGGAATGGCAGTATTCAATCGAATGGATGTTATTCGTAGAGGTGGATGTGTAACCGAAATCAAAATTAATTTTATACAATCATCAAGGGATAAACAATTTCCTAAAGTTTTCTTGTATATTGTGTCACCAGGAAAGGATCAAAACGAATTTACTATTATATATCGGCATGAAATATCTGATGAGATAATTGGTGCGCCGATCATATCTAGACAATTAACATCATCTACAGTACCAACCGAGCGACAAAATATAGCGAGCAACAACGATAACGTAAGTTCTATTGATGCCAAATTCATAGATTGACTTCTATATGTTTTCTATTCATTGAAGATAACCAGTGTATCTTCATCAACTCGTCCTACCGACTCCAATGCTCACACATCATCGAAAGTCGCAGGAAAACCGACAAAATTGACAACAGAAACAACAGACGCCTCTGTTAATGGTATTATTCAAACATTGAAGATTCAAGAACCTACTCTCTATGTGCAGGCAGGTCAATATCTAGCAATTGGCTTTGGTCGTAGTTCCACTCGACTATGTCGTGTTAAAGGAAATGATTCGTATTATATTACTCGAAGTTCGGCTGATACGGTTGTCCAGTCGGGTAAACCAGTGGTATTTATTCGTCAAGCAATTTATGGCTTAACATTCAGTTTCAAGATAACTCCAGAGACAGGTTTCTATAGAAATTTCATGATTTCACTGTAACACAATGCATATTGTGCAGCTTTCATTGATTTTAACAGATAACACAAAAAGAACTAACAACTCTTTCGCAAAACTTCTTATCTAACTGTCTTAGGGTCAGAGTAAATCAACCGAATCACTACCGAGAGATTAAATTCTTCTTTTAGTACAATTGCTTGCGAAGGAATCCCACCAACTGATTAAAACTCTTAATGCTCATGTTCAGGTATAAATTGGACTTTTGAGGGAAGGTCCCAAGTGTGAGTCACCGTTTCAAATCTAGTATTTGTCACTTTGTGAAGTTCAGTGAGTACAACCTGCGATATAAAGGGTTCATCCCAACACTGAACTTTTAAGAAACTACAAGGTACCATAAAGGAAGCTTCATAATAACTGTAGATAAAGTGTTAATGGTTTTTTTATACTATATCTTAGTGTAGAGAGCTGGAATTTCTACTACATATATATCTAATCAAGATCTGTTATTTCTGAAATTTTCAGCTCTCTACATTAAGACAAACTATTAAAAAAACCATTAACACTTTATCTACAGTTATTATGAAACACTCTTTATGGTACCTTGTAGTCTCTTAAAAGTTCAGTGTTGGGATGAATCCTTTATATCAGAGGTTGTACTCACTGAACTCTACAAAATGACAAATATTATATTCGAAACGACAACTCACACTTGGAGACCTTTCCTCGTACGTCCAACTTAGGGTATAGATATGAGCCTTAAAGGTTTTAATCAGCTGGTAGGATTCCTTCGTTAGGACACCTGTACTCTAAAAAAAAAAGGAACTTTACCGAACCTTAAAAAAAGGTTCGGTAGATGACAAAAAGCTTGCGAATGTGTTCAAAGTTTCAAAAAAAGAATAAAAAAAATCCACGGAACCTTTAAAGGATCTTCCCCTGGGTACGCGGGAAGATCCTTTTTTCTTCGAAACCTTTTTAAGTTCCGTAGAGCAAAAAATAGGTTTTGTAGGAAAAGACGGAACCTTTAGGGTTTCGCATTAAATACAATGGTTTTATACGAAACCCAGTGCGAAACCTTGAGGTTTAATACGAAATCCTAAAAGTTCCGTCTTTTCCTACAAAACCTGTTTTTTGCTCTACGGAACTTAAAAAGGTTTCGAAGAAAAAAGGATCTTCCCGTGTACCCAGGGGAAGATCCTTTAAAGGTTCCGTGGATTCTTTTATTCTTTTTTTGAAACTTTGAACACATTTGCAAGCTTTTTGTCATCTACCGAACCTTTTTTTAAGGTTCGGTAAAGTTCCGTTTTTTTAGAGTGTGCTTGTATTGCGAAAAAATGTGTGGTTCCAGTACTATAAAGTCTAGTATCATCTGTTAGGTTTTTTGCAGTTGAATTGTTGCTGGATACATGTAGGCCATAGTTATTTCAAGAAGCTTGAAACAACTATTTTTGGAGATTCTGTGATGCATTTCTAATGTTTGTTGAAAGGCGACAAAGAGATATGCTTGGTCATTTGATTCGTTTGGTCCGTGTTGTTTAAGGATACTTGAGCTACTGGTATTAGAGAAAGTTGTGAGAATAATATTTTCATCTTCTTGCCTTATGATACGGGCAAATCAATTTGGTTAGAATTCTATGCAAGACATATGCTATCCGGATCATAAACTGATCTGACGATCAAAATTGAAGTTTATAGATTTCTTCTTTGGATTCATTAAATATGTATTGCATAGAATTTGAACCGCAGCGCAAATCAGTTGAATCAAATATCAAAACAATGATCAACAATCAACAAGCATTAGAGGAACTAATGATGGAAACCAAGTCGATAATTCTCTATCGAGTTTTTGTCCATGAAATAATAGCACATACCCTCGACCTCAAATATGAAAAAGCTTTTTTAGTCTATTGTTTGTTTCAGGTTTTATTCGAGACTTATTTTTGTGGTCATTGTTCGCTGATAGCTCCAATCTGGCAACTTGCCTATGTTCACGATCTGAGGTGCTTAAATATATTCTTTAATACTCTATAATCAATAATCATTTTTGCTTTAGAATTCAATCGTAGCCGCACTATTGGCCAGTAAAATCTACCAAACAGCCGCTGAGAAAACGAATAAACCTGAGAAGAAAAAAGATTACTTACAAAAAGAAAAGTATTTCCATGTCAAAAGTTTCTTATACTTTTTTCCTAGATTCTCATATCATATTCTACTACAGGGACTTCGATGAACATGCTGCAGGTATTATTGAAAAATGTTTTCAGAAAGATGAAGAATTTGCTGTTAGCATATTAACTGAAAATTCTCAACGATATTTTAACTACAGTCCATTACAATTAGCAAAGGAAAGTAATAGTCGTTCGTTTTTAGCAACGAAATGTGTTCAAAAATATTTGGATAAAAAATGGTTCGGTACAATTGATAACCACCGACATTCCATGTTCTGGAATGTTGTTTTGGTAAATATTTGAATAATAACGCTGTATTAATGATTCATTTCTTATGATCTAGATCTTCATTCTAAGTGTTTTCTCACCATTCATCAAGTTAGTTATATTCTGTAAGTCCTTGTTGTCATCAGAAAAAGGCAAACATGAGTATGTATCTTATTCTGTTACTTTTTCGATCTTACTATTATTTATTGTAGGCCAACAAATACAAATCAGTGGAGCATTCTTCAACTTTATCAAAAAAGAGCAATAGTACGATTCTTTTATAACATTGTATGTATTCAGTTGTCCAGCTATATTTCATAATATTATTTTAAACACATTATGTTATTGTTGGTTTTTCTTATAGATCTTCTATGTTGCATTTCTGTGCTTATTTAGTTACGTGCTCTTAGTGGATTATTTTCCAATAAATAATAATGGTGGTACACGTAATGGTTATTTTATAATAATTCCAATAACAGAAATCGTCCTTCACATTTTAATGTTTAGTATTCTTATTGAAGAATGTATAGAGGTTCATAGGGATTTAATTTTCGATTCTTGATTTGTCATTTTTGTTCATATATTTGTTTTTGTTCATGTTTAGTTTCTATTGTATTATGCGGAAAAACGTTTATGTAATATTCATTGGATTCCTTGGAAATATTTCACTATTGATAAATGGAATATTCTTGATGTAATAGCAATTCTATTTTATATAGCCGGTTTCATCCCACGTTGGATTCCTTCTGAATCTGCGTTTACTGTTTCAAAGTGAGTACATTCGCTCAATTTAGCTGACTTTGGAGATTATTGTTAATCTATTTTTGTAATCTATCATAGAATTTTCATGTGTCTGTCACTATTCCTTTGGTATGTACGCATTTTACATTTCTTCATAGCATCAGAACGACTGGGTACCAACTTGCTCAAGATATTTCACACAGTAAAAATTATTTAAATTTTATATCATCAATTCTTATCTATTTCATTTAGATGAAAGATTTGCAATTCTTTATTTACTTTATATTGATTTTCTTGATTGGTTATTCGGTGACTTCATATTCGCTTATCACTACCAATCAACAGCTTATTTGGCAGAATTCCGACTCGAATTCTTCTGAAGCGTACGAACTAACGCAAAATGGTGATGGTCTCTGGAATTGGACGATTTTAAGAAATGTCATTGATTGGGGAATGTGGAAAATATATGGACAAGTATCATTGCTGAACAATCAAGAGGTAGATGGTGTCATACTAAATGGTATGAAAATAAGTCCGTTGTTTTTAAACTTCGCCTTCATAAAATCGTGTCGACTGTTTTTAGCTGATAACGATGCTTATGGAACAATGGTATTTATCTTGACGATTATTTTTGTCTGCATAGCAAACGTACTGTTGTTGAATGTGCTGGTCGCTCTATTTAAGTATGATTGAAATCTGAACTTTTTCTCATGAAGGCTAACGTTCTACATGTTTAGTGATACACTTAGTAAAGCTGCACATAATTCGCACATATATTGGGCATTTCATCGATTCCTTCTCGTCAATGAATATCGACGAAAATCACCATATCCACCACCGATTAATCTTCTTCATTATACTTATAAATTCCTTAAATTTCTATATCGTCTTAGCCGAAATAAGACTAGTGGTAGGTCTCCCTCTTCTCTTTCAATTCACTTGTCGCTATAAAACTGTATTGTTTTTTTCGTAGACAATATTCATGGTTCGCTTGATGGTGCTAGTGAACTCGATTCGAATTTATATAATATAATTTCATTCAATGCAATGGATCGAGCAAAAATTTCTGGCACTGTAACAAAGGTTTCAATTAATTTTTCTACTGCACCAACAACAACAAATCCTGAAATTTGGCTATTTGTTATTGCAGCTGCAACAGTTGCTTCGAATCCACACTTCTTTATAGTTATTAGCAAGCGTCAGTTATTTGAAAAATCCAAACAAAATACTACTGCAAATCAGCAAAAATCTGCAACAATCAAATTAGAAAAAGGAATCCAAACATTCGACACAGATATTAAAATCACAGAGGGACAATATTTAGGTATAAGATTTTCACCAGGAGCTGGCAATCCTTATAGTACTGGACGCAATCAGTATTATTTTAATGCTCCCGTTGAGCCTGTTCTAAATTATTCTATTTTATTTACAAATTGTCCTACCAAAGGTATTGCAATGAGTTTCACGGTTCAAAAAAGCAAGAGTATGTGATGGTATTCATTATTCTGTTAACTCTTTTCTATTTTTTCTCAGATCTAAAACTAGAAAGACGAACATGGAGAACTATTTTTCAAGATAACATGAAAACAGCGATCTTGGGACTTACTCTTTCTGGTACGTGAAACTTTTCTCCTTCTCATTATGCGTCTCTTATTTGTGTATCATGCTGCAGATACCACTGAACGGGATGAATTTCAAATACGCGACAACATGCTACGGGAAGAAAGGATCGCTCAAGAATACTGGGCCGACATTATTATCCGTATCAAACAACGGGAAAGAGATGAAAATGAATATTTCGACCAAGAAGAAAAATTGTCGAAAGACTTTATTGACAGATCAGTCCGCTTTTGACAAGAACTTCTAAGGCGGAGAAAAATATGATCAAAATATTTTGAAAAAAAACATTTCAAGGAGAACATAGACAATAATTATAGTATTCATACTTGGCAAAATGTATTTTAGCCACATTTTACAATTTGTTTACGAGTAATAGACTCTTTTTGCGAAGTTCAATGATGCATTTTATGTGTTCTGTTTTGTAGTTTATAAAAAATATGCCAGGTAATGACTCATTTATTAAAATCAACTGTTTCTTTTCGAAAAAGCTTTTTTTCAAAATTACTCAAACCCGAGCCTTTTGCGTGTCTTATTCAGTTTGTATCAAAATCAATCTTTCAATCGAGGTTTCATAATTAGAGTTTTTCTCCAGTTGTTGAGATTGAAAAAAATATTATTGAGCTCTTTCTAATGAAATTGCAAGGATATTTGATTATCTTTACAATATTTGGAATAATGCAATGAAGCTAATTTTCTATGTAACGTTCCTCATAGGTTAACCTGTTTTATTTTCAAAATTTCTATTCAGGAAATTCTATTAGACAACTAAACTAAGGTATACTTTGGAAAATTGACCTTTCGTACTGTCTTCATACAATATATCGACCACTTGAAACTCAATTGCTTTATTTTTAGAAATCCTAAGCTTTTACGAAACTTCACAAGTGGAGATATACTTTGGTTATTTTTGTGAAAAACGAACTAAAAGGAGTGTTGAAATATAGAGGCAGAAATTTTGGACTGACTCCTTTCCGCTTCCCCCCCCCCCCCTCACAGTGGACAGCCAGCCGACAAAATCGCTTTTCGAGATTTAGGCAAATATCATAGCTATCATTGCAGCTGCTGTGCTTCTGCATTTAACTGCATCCCGGATAATGATTGAAAGCAAGTGTTTGTTAAATTGCAGGCACCATAAGGTACGTAAAAAAGATAAACATCACTAATAGGATCATATAAGTAAAACGTATGTTTTAAATTGAGGATCCAGTTATATTCATTCGTTATTATATAGTTATACAGTGTTATACATTTACTATATATTGCAGGCCGTTCAGACTTCTTGAAATTCTTTGGACTATAATAAGATCAAAATCTTACGACCAGTATAGCGAAAAATAGTCACTGCTCCACAATGTAGTTTGTTCGCCGGATTTTGCCGAAGCTTTAATTCAAGTTTTAATTTGTTATTCGATAGAGCAAGTCATCATCTATTTTCGGTGAATGTCCAAAGATGCCCGCTTAAACTCTTGTTGAGATATTTGATTTTTTTACGACGTCTCGTGACACAACACCGTGGTCCCCCTCAGGTTCACTTGAAAAATCAACTTTCGAATTTCGACTTGCAACTTTGCACAGAGAGAGGTCTCAATGAAACTAGTTAATTCTGAAAGTTTCAAATTTCTTGGTTGCTCCTATCCTTAAATATAAACACTTAACATTTTGTGCTATAATGATGTGAAAAAGAGTATTTTTTCTTGCAGTTGTATCTCAGGGTAGAAGGAACCTAAAAATCTCAAACTTTTAGAATGAACCAGTCTCATCAAGACCTTTCTCTGTGCAAAGTTTCAAGTCGAAATTCGAAAATTGATTTTTCAAGTGAATCTGAAGGGTACCATGGCTTTTTGCTAAAAAATGCAATAAAAATTAAATATCTCGATTGAAATAAGCTATAAGCGCGAACTCTTTTCAGTATGCTCATAGCTCATTAAGGCCTACATAATGCACACAGTCTCGATTCAAAAGCGATTTGGCATCTGGAAATTGCTCCTGACTCCCTTTCTCTGTCCACTGTGCCCCCCCCCCCCCAATGCAGACTGTGACAGACGCCTTAGTAATGTCCCACCCCAGCCATTACTGACACTTTAGCAATGACTCCTCTCTCCATCATAGATTATGATAGACATAATAGCAGCGAGCCATTCCAGAGCATGACAGTTGCAAACCAGTAGCCATTCTAGAGCGTGATGGTCCCATAGTGTAACTCGACTTCCTGAAATCACAGACGATGACAGATACTTTGGCAAATTTTCTCATCTACGAGAGGATTATTTCGATCGTGTTTCATATTTTAATTCCACCAGATTGCGCTAACAGCTTTCTATTAAAATCTGTTTCCACTTTCTTATAGAGTCTGAGAAGTTTCCTGTAAACTCAAAGCAAGAAACTTCTATCAGTGGAAACTTTTAGGAATATATATCTGCCGTTCGAAACATGGTTGTAAGGAGAAATTTTAGAGAAAATTTTGTAGCACACCATCGCTCTGACAGTTCTTTTAGTCTACTATTGACTTTATTATAAATAGTCATCAGCATAACTATGAAATATAACGAGATCTTTTTGCGTATGACTTCTGAATTTCTTTTTAGATAGAACTCTGGAAATTTTGTGTATAACTTAAAAACTTATTATTCAACGTTGCACATGATTAGTTCGAGTTAAGTATTGTTCAAGTATTGACGTTTTATAAGCTACACTTTTTCTGCACTGCCATTTGGGAGGAAAATACAACTTGTTGTATTGGTTTTGATTTGGAAACATATATATCACAATCGAAGTATAAAATTAACGAAAAGTATTTTATTGCTACTTTCTAAAAGAGATATATGGGAGCCGAAAACAGCCTTATTCACAGACGCAACGTTGATATAATACAACCATCGGAACCTGAAAATTTGGAATTAGGTGAATCTAGAGCTAATGCTCCTACAGTTCCAGTTTACGATAATGCTGATGCATCTCGTCAAAGAAACTCGCCTGCAACAACTGCAACGGAAATTTCTGGCAAGCCACGTTCAAAGATGACCAACCATCAACCTATTCCATCACACCAACTTCTTCAGAATCAGCGGTATATTATTGGCAAAGTGGAGAGATCTCATGTGGTACCGCACATGCAACTACGACGACAAGCAAGAGAAATTAGGGATAATGAGGATGAGGAAACAATTCCAAACAATTATCGTCAATTGTCAACAGATGATTATGTAATGCCCGTTATTTGGTTGGATAACGAAGTTCGTGATTCAGAGGAAAATCTAAAGATGCAAGATGAATTAAACGTTGTAACACCATCACTAAAAGTATTCAACAACATTGAAGACTGTGAAGACTATATTCGAAAATTAGCCACTACTGATAAAGTGATTTTGATCGTAGCTGGGAGTGTTGGCAGTATTCTTGTCCCATCTGTTTATGATTCAGAACAGATAGATGTTATTTACATTTATACTGTGGCAGGAAAGTATTTCGAAGAAAAATTTAGAGAATATAAAAAGGTAAGTCAAAAAACCGATTTGTAAAGACGGCTGAATCTTAGTATTAATTTCTGCGAAAATGTGTAAATAAGGTTCTTTTTTTTCTAAATAGGTACATGTTGTTGTTAAAGAAAATCAACTTATTGAAAAGATTCGGCATAAACAAATTCAACAACTGAAGCTTCTGAATGAAATTGAAGAAGAATTATCAGTGAATATTTATAATCGAAAATATGAATATCAAGCAGAATCGAATATTTCATTTATTTGGATGTATCTTTTTGTACACACATTGCTTAAAATCACTCGTTTCGATGATTCCATATCACCTTCCTCTGCGCCAACATTGCATAAAGACAAACATGAGTTAGTTTCGAAATTAAGTCGCATATATGCTACTGACGACGATTTCTTGCGTATAATTAAGGAGTTCAATACTGAATATTCGTCAGACAATGCCGTATGGTGGTATACGCTTGAATCATCTTTCTATAAAGTGTTGAATAAAGCATTCCGAAATAGAAATCTGGAACTCTTATTACTTTTTCGATTTTTCATCTTTGATATGTTTCAACAGTTAGATGAAATACATAAACACCAACAACATGAAAATTGTCGACAACCTTATTACGTATATCGTGGTCAGCAAATATCATCAAATGAATTTGAGCGAATAGCAAAATCGGTCGACGAGTTTATATCAATGAACTCTTTCTTGTCTACCACTTTACAGAAAGATGTAGCACTTGCTTTTGTTGAACACCAGCAACAGAATTTGTCTGAAGATTGTCAACTAGTATTATTTGAGATAAAAATTGATCCGTGTCTTAAAACTCTGCCATATGCAAATATTTCAGAATTAAGTGCCTTGCGCGGCGAAAAGGAAGTTTTGTTTGTACCGGGAACAATTTTTAAAATTCAAAACGTTCATAAAGATAAAAATTCTGATAATATTGACATTATCCAACTAGAATTATGCAGTGAAGAAGACCCAGAACTGTGCGAAATTATCTTGCATTGGACAAAACAAATTGAAACTGAAACTAATGAAACTTCATTGGGTTGGTTAATCATGCAAACAGGTCATTTAGATAAAGCCGCAAAGTTTTATGAAACATTGTGGAATCGATTACCACATAATGATCCTTTGATCGTAGATTGTTACTATGGTTTGGGTAATTGTAATCAAAATGCTGGATATTATAATGAAGCCATTTTCTACCATACTGAAGCATTTAAGGCTGCAGAGGAAGTACGCAATGGTGAAAAATGGTTTGCCAAAGGTTACAGTTCATTAGCAGATGACTACTTTCTTAATAATGAAATGGAAAAAGCACTTGAATCATATCAAAAAGCATTACCGATTTACATATCCAAATATGGTGAAAAACATCCAGATACTGTGAAGTGTCATACGAACCTCGGTAAAGTCTATGAAAATATGGAAGAATATGAATTGGCAGAAAAGTCATATCAAACTGCATTTAATCTGACTAAGTCTTCTAAATCGAAAAAAGATCCATTTGATCTTGCTACATCATCAATCAACTTGG